AGGAGTAAGATCTGAGTGTTGGTGGTTTGACCAATCAATCGACAACTGCGGTAGCAGAAATTTGGGAAGCTTACCTGAAATGCCATCGGAAAACGAATACACATATTTCTAGAAATGATATAAAAATAAGAGGTTAATGCAGTCAAGCTATTGGAATATAATTCCATGAAAATCAAAAGATAAATAGATAAGAACTATTCCGATCATTCCCATGTTAAGAAATGATTGAAAAACAACTGCAAAGTTATGGATTTGTTCATCTGTGATTTACTTCCAACTAGTTAGGGGTCATTTCAAGAAAAGTTCATATTATTGATGCGTCAAAGAACTATGACACTTGCAAACTTTCAAGATTCTGGATATTGTAAATTTCACTTGGTAGGAAATTTTCCAACTTGACTTTCTATAGCCATGCTTGATCATAAATTAATGATTGAGTTGCTTTATTCTTAGTTTTAAAAACGGGCTTATTTTGAAGCCTAGCATGTCACAAATGATGATATAAATAAAACATGCCAATGTTGATGGAGTTGTATTAAAACAAATTCGTTGAAATAAAAAAATTATGCACAAAATGTCCCTGGAGTAGTGCAAAACGTGTTCAAATCATAGTTCTTTTCAGTTGTTGATAATTTTATATATTTTGAAATTATTTTAAAACGTTTTGTATCGCTTCCTGAAGATTTTGTGTACTCAACCTAACCTAACTATTCCCCTTTCTATTTTGCTTTGGATATTTTCCATCAACTCTGACACACAGTAATTCGAAAAAAAATTATGTTGATAACGCAAAGAAAATATATTAACTTTTTTATTAATCAACCCCCCCGCGGGCATCAAACCGGAGTTTATTTTGCCACAGAAATTTCGAAATAAACCGAGTTACTACTTTTTATATTGATATTTCAGATTCGATTATGAATTTCAGAATTATGTTGTATATTTTTTCATTGAGTGTAGCTGAAAGCACTGTTATATTGGTTGGAAAATAAACATTAGAAGAAAGCGAATTATTCAAGAAATCCGGCTGGTACAGTTTGAAACCTGGACGCTAAAGAAAAACTTTCACATGAGCATAATGGATTCACATCAATGCATATTTTTGCCAGATGTGCAGAAAACTTACTACCATGGTTCATTTTCATTCGTGTGATGATAGTGGCGTAAAATATTGAAAAGTTGAAGTTGTCTATGTGGGGGATACTTTTAGTGATAGTGGGGTGGATTAATGAATAATGATTTTTTGATTTAGATAAGAATTCTTTTCAGAGTCTTCCCCATTTTAGTAAATACATTCATATTATTGATAGTGTTACAATCCTGTTTTTGTTTCAGGCCCATCANAAAATGACTTTCTTTAATAACGTGGGGATTTTCGTCGGCCCAAAAATGGTGAAAAATTTGGTTCTTCCGTAAATGAGGGACTTTCATCTATAGGATCGAATACAGCTTTTCTAGTTCAGGCTTCATTGAAGTTGCTGGTCTTACGGACGGGGTCGCCGGACTCCTGGTCAATGGCAGAAATAAGTAGGGTGAGGGCAACTAAAACCCTCCAAAAGCCTTTGCAAAACATGCCTCCGTGGACCAGCCTACACAAGCTAATGTGTAAGGAATCGTGCCGACAGCTGAAAGGCCGCAGGATGATATACAGTTACGAACGATCCCCTTGGGGTGATGCGGGGCTCTGCCAGAGTTGACCAACTCTTACCTTGCTACTCGTGGGAACACACATGAATGAAACAACATAAAAACGGAAACAACAAAAACAAAAACCAAACCCGAAGCTGGACAGAAGTGCTCACCTCAATCTAAGGCGGTGGCTGGGAATGAACAGAAATGTCCACCCCAATCTATCGCTTGGAATGAAGCTGGACATAACAGATCACCTCCAACAGCAAGGGCACTTCCTTGCCTTGAATGAAGGCAAGGAACCAATTGCCCCTACAGAAAAACTCCCTCACTTGTGCACCTCCACGGAGGGAACCCCAAGAAGGTTGAAGAAGCCGCGCAACGACAGTAATATCGCTGCACTTTCCAGAACCTTCGCGGGGGCCACCGTGAGACACCTCAAGGTTGCCAAAGAGAATGTGTGTTCGGCGAGTCTTGGCCTACGCCTGCCAATATTAAGGAGATGTCTGCTAGTGACCTGTCCACCTTCCTGGAAAGGACAGGATCAACGATGACCTAGGAGGACAACTCCTCGAGAGGATGTACAATGGGTTACATGTGGCCTAAGTGCTGTGAGTCTACACGTACCCTCCCTACTCTACAGATACAGAAGTCAGTGGCGTACTTTTTTCCCAATATTGTTGGCTCTTGTGCCCAGTGAGACTCCACTGGACCTAATAACTTCAATTTAGTCAGGGCTAAGTAAGTGCCATATTATTTCAAATGACTGTAGCAAATTTCAACCAAATCGGTGTAAAAATATTCATGATATTTTCTAAACACTGTTTCGTTGGAACTTAACCGTCCTGTATCTCAGAAAGGAAGCAACTCCGGACATTTGTTAATGAACTTCTTTTTCAATACGACCTAACGAATCACCCTCTGAAGTTTCGTACCGCACTTAGGAAACAAACTGTATAAATAAAACATGTCAATGTTGATGAAGGTGTAGCCTGAGATGAAAGTCGTTAAAAATTTAAATAATGTATACACGAAGTTTCCATGAAGTGATACAAAACGTGAATTCCACCTGTTCATAATTTTATATATTTCAAAATGAATTTAACACGTTTCGTATTATTTCCTGAATATTTTGTGTATTATGTTTTTATTTCAACGAAATGTAATTACCTACTCCTTTCTATTTTGCTTCGGATTTTTCCGATCAACTCTGCCAGATAAGAATGTCAAGAAAATATAATCATTCATTCATGTTTTCACTCTGTTCCAGGTCCATCTGGAAGACCATCACCTGGGCCAAGTAAGTATATTATTTCAAAATAAATTTCGAAATATCAATCTCTCCCAACTACCTACACACTAGGTAGTTGGGGACTTTAGAATGACCTGTTTTTGGACCAGAGAATCACATGCTCATTGTTGTTCTAAATGAATATTGTGTTTCAGGGTCACCAAGAGGTCCTTTAGCACATTCATCAATGAGACAAAGTAAGTATTCTTTTAAATTTTTCATTCTTCTCGTATATAAAGCCTGAGAAGCAGAGAGACGAAACCTATCTTTCCTGAAAATTAATCTCTTCTGAAAATATACCCCTTTCAATTTGAACAAGATTTCTTTGGCTGGGATTTAATCAAATGAGTGAATGAATGACATTGCGTACCGTCATCAATGACATGAGTAGATTAACCTCGTTCGTGACAGAGTCATGATTTTATGAATGAATTCTGTGCAATGTTTTACAGCGAAACATCGGTGTGAGAATGACAGTGCTTTATGTAAGTGAAGATACGTGGAGAGACACGTGGAGAAGGCTATGTGAGGAGGTCGAACAGACCCAAGCATTTGCCAGGCTCTACAAAATACTCTCGATGATGATACGTCGTTAGAATCAATCATCCAGGCGTCGAGGAGAAGAGGGATCGACAAGACAAGCTGTAGGTGGATAGAATGCGTGCTCAGGGGAAGATTGGTTTATACAACCATTATGGGGGAAACANTCATTAGGGAACCGTCCTAGAAAAGAACCGAAGAACTACTTCAATATAATAGGGACCAGCTCAGAATAATTACAGGGTTACTAACCGGTCATTGTCTGCTTAGAGGACACCTGAATAAAATGAGGCTGTATAATGGAGACCTCAGCTGCAGATCATGCAGCGAAGGGATAGAAACAGCTCTACACATCTTATGCGAATGTGAGGCACTGAATCACAGGAAGCAGGCAATATATGGACGTATGAAATTACGTCCAGAAGAATATGACGAACATCCAACATGGAACCTGAACAAACTAGTACAGGGAATGAGACTGATGGAATGGGTGTCATGAGAAGATGGAAGAATAAGCGCAATAAGCCCAAGAGGCTGCAGTGTTTTCTGGAAACTTGAACTGAATGGACAAGTTAGACAGCTTCCAAGGCACCAAAAAGAAGTGAAATTTCACCCCATTCATTTACTATATTCTGTAGCAATCCTATGAAATATATCTGACTCAATTCCATATTTGGAGTAACGCAATAGAGAAACATCGAGAATCAAGATCTGTTGCGCTTGATATTTCTGAGGCCTTCGACTGTGTGTGGCATGAGGGTTTGCTGGCCAAACTTCGATGCTATGGCTTGTCGGATCATTTTTGTGTATGGTCCTTCAGCTTCCTGAAAGAACTTTCCGTGCAAGTGACCGTCGATGAATATCTCTCGAATACTTTCACCATCAACGCTGGTGTTCCCCAGGGATCCATATTGTCTCCAAGCTTTTTTTATTTTATATCAACGACTCATTGGAAAAACCAAGAATCCAATATATTGCTTTGCTGACGACAACACACTTGTCTCTCGTCATATCATTTGGATTCCAGGATATCGGCTAACGGAGGCACATCTTTACCGGCAGCAGGAGGTTGCATATCTTAATGAGGATCTAGAAGTGATTTCGATTTGGGTAGAAAGTAACCAGGTTCAATTCAATGCCACGAAAACCCAGGCATGGGTTTTCTCCAAGAAGATGAATGTCTCCGAACCGGATATAATAATGTCAGATCAGACAATTGCGCTTTCTGCTTCGATAAGTTTGTTGGGGGTTAAAATGGACACCGATATGTCTTGGCACAATAATGTCGCTGGAATTGCAAAGGCTGCTTCTCAAAACCTTGAAACACTGTTCCGAATCAGAAAACTGTTTACACCTCAGCAACTTTTGATGCTTTATAAAGCTCAGATCAGACCTTTTTTGGAGTATTGTTCTCATGTATGGCGCTTTGTCCCCAAACATACCCTGAAACTGCTGGATTTCATCCAGAAAAGATCTATTCGCCTGATTGGAGACGCGAACATCACTTGCAATCTTGATAGTCTGGAGCTTGTGTTTTGCCCTTAAAGAAGTTTCTGTCTGGAAAATATTTCTTTGCATGATCTACACACTTTTGTATAGAGAAATTGATTACTTTCATCTCTTCTTTGGAAAATTCTCACATTTTTTTCTATGAAAATGGAGAAATAACCTTTCTTCTCAAAAAAAAAAATCAGTCTCTTCTTAAAATATACCCCTTTCAATTTATAAAACATGAATTCCACCATTGTTTTTTTTCAGGACCGGATAACTCACGTCAACAGCATTCTGTGGCAGATGAAACTCTTAACGAAATTAATGATTTGGAAAATCTAGGTGAGTTTGTATGCAGTGCTCTAGAAAAGTTAGGAAATTATTGAAAGAAACTAATAAACTTCCTTCCAACAGTTCCCTTTTGATAATATAAGCAGGACCTAACTAATTTTGTTCACAATTGAATTTGATGTTTATACTTTCGTTGACTGGTATGTTGGAGTACATGTTTTTTATGTCGAATGAGAATAATTTAGTGTTCGGGCTGACCTTTGTCATTGAGAATACAAAGAATAGTACCTGATGTAATTCAAATACAGGCAAGTTCACTTAAAGTACCTGAAGTACCTGTATTGAGGCGTTCGGACCGTATAAAAGGACACACAACAGGATGACATGTTTAGATATAGTAGGGTCTAGAGGATGACAGCACGACCAGCTGTCGAAAGCGCTCGCAGATAATTAAATAGAAGTTATAGAGCTTCGAATCCTTTTTGTAACTCACATTATTAGTAAAATACTGAAAATATAATACTGCAGTTATGTGGTTCCACTTATGTCTCGCTTGCGTTAACGCACTTATTTTTATTAAGTACTGGGCAAGCGCAGTGAGCCAAGAATGATAGCCTTCTGCATCTGTGCGGCTAAGATTTCTGCCTTAGTGCGGCAATCCGGTATGATTTTAAGATTCGAGAACAGAGATGGCATCATTTCCTGAAGGACTCCAATAATCAGAACAACCATCTTGATAGAATGATCTGGATAGAGTCTGCGGAGTTCGAAGAGAGAATCTCGATATTTTGACCGTTTTTCCTCCTCTTTTCTGACGATATTTGTCTCGCCAGGAGCTGAAAACTCCACGACAAATTTCGTTTTGCTCTGGTGGTCGAGAAGGACTACATCAGGCTCATTAGCTTGTGTGAGCCAGAGGGTGGAAAACGAATAATTTCAATAAATTCGACACTTCTCGTTCCCCACAACGGATTCAATATCCCCCGGAGCGTAGGTCAACACTGGTGTCTCGTCAATACCGCAAGAGTGCCGTAGATGGTAATATAGTATTTTCAGGGCCGCGTTATGTCGATGGATATAGGCCGAGACCGCATATGCTGGACATGCTGATAGCAAGTGCATTAGGGTCTCGGGCGCCTCTCGGCAGGCCCTGCACCTCGTGTCAAGAACCTCTATTCCCATCACGCGACTGCGGTGGACTAAGGTGTTGAAGACACCATCCTGGCAAGCCTTGATGAACCCCTCAGTTTTCGACTTCACCCCATTCGATCTGAGTAAAGCGAACGTCAGGCGCTTTGATAAGCCAAGGTCTCCAATGTTATTGAAGAAGACCCCATGCATTGGCTTATCCTTGTGTTTCCGCAGGAGTATGGTGATCTCTGCGGCTTTTATGTGAGCTTTTTGCTGAAAGGTTTCCAACTCGGTGACAGAGTTGTGGTCACCTCGTTCAGTGTCAAAAACTATACCGAGTTCATGAGCTGCTCGGGCAGCTGCCCTGAAGAGAAATGCTCCATTACTTGCTCTCTTATGGTCACGGACAATGCAGAGAAAGGGATCCAAACTCCTGACGACTCAACAGGCTATACCCAGTACCATTCTGTCATGTAGACACTCCAAACTCAAAAGTCATCCAGGATTATTATTATTATTACTATCCATCGACAGCCACTTGCAGAGAACGTTCTATCAGGAAGTTGGAGAGTGCTTATCAAATTTGTACCTTCTCATGTGTTTCTTTTATTTTAGTGGATTTTCATAACGATTCATGTCAATATCTGTTTATAATAGAAATCTGTAAGCAGAGCATGCAAAACAATAACATTTAATACAATAGTAGTTAGTTTCTAGAGAAAAATCGATAGAATGTGGTCTTTCTACAACTTCCTACCTTATCCCATCGAATTTTCCATTTCAGGAATTTTGCGTAGGTCACAGTTGGATATACATATGAGAGACGAGCCTGGAGATGAACTGAATTTGAGTCATTCCCATGTCCTCGAAGTGTATCCCCATGAACCTAGAGGAGGGGACGATTCATTAGGTATCATGGATTCAAGATATATGGCTGATGAAAGATTTGCTGCAGCAGATGGTAGGTATGACGCCAGTCGAACAGAAACATTGAGCAGATAGTTCTTATTCAGCTGTTTTTCTCAATGTTATTTACAATTCTGAAAGATCAATCTGATGGAGAGAGAGTCAGAGATCAGTTAAAACTATTTTAATTCAACTCGACCTTTCGGTTTATTATTAAACCATAATCATGGGTGCTGAATTAGTATATTAACACTTTCAAAATACAAATCATGAAATTATAAAACAACAATAAAAATCATTTGGCGCTCCGGGGCGACTTTATTGATTCCAGTGGCGCATTTGCTTTTTCAGCTGCAGGGAAACCCGGAAAAACCTGCAGCACCGTGTCATCTGAAGATCTTGATCTGTCAATGTCCTCTTTGTCATAAAACAAAATGTAGGGTGTCTCCAGAGGCTCCAATAAATTCAATACATCGCCAGAACACTTCGTGACACGATTATCGTCAAACTTAAACCAGTCCGTTTCGTCTTTGACCGAAGCGTTAATAACGACCAAATTCATCGACAGAACCACAGTGAGCAATGACTGCATGACTATTATAATAGTGGTCTGCTAGATTGAAGTGTTCATCTATTTAGAACCTTCGTAAGAGTATGTTGATCTAAAATTTCAACAACGAATAAGAGAGAGTCGAAAGTTTAAAATTTAGATTTTGAGTATTACCGGAATGTGTGTAATTTTTAATGGAAGTTGCCTTTTTTCGTTTTGACTATTGTCACAAAATAATATCTTTTGCATTTGACACTTTGGAAATTTTTTCTCTTGATTTTATACATCAATTGTTTAACTGACTATATACCGCTGAATTGTTATGGTTAATTATAAAAATGTCTCTGACTTTCAATTATAGATAAGCCCAGAACTTTGATTATATCTACCCTTCAATAATTTTGGCATTTGTGATTCTCACGGTTAAATATGAAAACGTCTCTGACTTCTTATTATAAATAGAACTTCGATTATCTAAACTTCGAAAATCTTGGCATTTTTGGTTCATATTGGAAATTATAAAAGTGTCTCTGATTTCTCATTATAGATGAGCCCAGAACTCAGATAATATCTACTTTTTGATTATCTTGACATTTGTGGTTCTCATCGTTCATTATAAAATCGTCTCTGACTCATTATTATAGATAGACCCAGAACTCAGATTGTGTCTTCTTTTTAATAATCTTACCATTTGTGGTTCTTATCGTAAGTTATGAAAACGTCTCTCATTATAGATAATCCTGAAACTTAGATTATGCCTTCCCTTCAATTATCTTGCCTTTTGTGATTCTCATCGTGAATTATAAAAACGTCTCTGACTTCTTATTATAGATGAGCCTAGAACTCAGATTATGTCTTCCCGTCAATAATCTTGCCATTTGTGGTTCTCATCGTGAATTATAAAAACGTCTCTGACTTCTTATTATAGATAAGCCTAGAACTCAAATTATTAGGTGGATATATTCTGAAGTTCTGGGCTTATCTATATTTAGAACTCAGAGACGTTTTTATAACCAATAATGAAAATCACAAATACCAAATTCAGCAGTCCCTAGTTAGCAAGACAATTGGTGTGTGAAAATAAGAGAAAAAATATACAATGTGTATAATAAATTACTTTCCGACAATAGTCAAAATAAACTGAAGTAACTTCTTCAAAAATTTCGCAGGTTTCGGTATTTTTCAGAATCTAAATTCTGAACTTCTAACTTATTCTTTTGATTGTAAAAGTTTCAGATCTACATTATTATTGTTGATATATCTTTTTAGCACCCATAATCATGGTTCAATGATGAATCAAAACGTTTAATTCTTCAAAATATGAAACTGAAAAACATGACAATATCGTAAGTTTGGAAAGTTCTCAATAATCTCACAAATTGAAATGAAATAAAAATTCATTCAACTTTCAAGAAATCTTCGATGTTGATGATTAGGTAATCCAAATTTAATCTCTATTGAAATATATAAACATGCACGTGTTCAAAGATGGACGTACTACGAATATATTTTTTGCAGAACTATTTCGAATTTTCAAACAAATTTTATATTTCTCTTTATGAGTCAATGATCCTTTTCTTTTTCCTAGTTTTCGACTCTGTTTACTGAAATTATTTTCAGTAAATTCCCAACTATTTTGTAACACTTCACATAAAGTCAGTGGGCATACTTGTGGGCATATTCCCCTGGCTAATATCACGAAGTCGTTGGATTATATCCGACAGTGAAGATTATATATTCAGTAAAGAATCCTGCACTGACACCTATCGAATATAATCCAACGCCCCCCGTAGTATTAGCCAGGGAAGTAGTTGTTTTCTGATAGGGGTCAGTCTATCAACCTACAGTGTAGGGAGTTGACACTGGCCTGTACAAATTGTTGCTTTAGATGGTTTCATTTTGTAACAGGAAAAAGAATCATGATATTTCGATTTTGAGCAATCAAGTATCTGTTTTATATCTCCTGTGGTTAGTTTCGTTTGAACTAGATAAATCAATTTTCTTAACAATATGTTTTGGATCTGGACTTTCATGATGAACACTATTTTTTTACAGAATACAACTACAGTGGTCCAGATGATCTGGGCCCTTATCCAGTACACGTAATGAATGAGCTTTCTAGTGCAGGTCAAGGTAAGTTTCCCAAAAAAAAATATGAATAGTTTTTTCATGCTCATTGGAACCATTCAACCAACCATGAGAATTGTGTCCTATCCTAATACATTTTCACCAGAGATATCGACTAAAATTGGGAAACCTTTTTTCTCGAAGACCTCGACGCAAACTATTTTTTCAGTCATCCCTAGAAACATACCTGTATCTGTATTTGTAGAGTAGGGAGGGTGAGTGTAGGCCCACAGCATTTAGGCCACATGTGACCCATTGTACACCCTCCCGAGGAGTTGTCCTCCTAGGTCATCGTCCATTCTGTCCTTTCCAGGAGGGTGGACAGGTCACTGAAAGACATCTCTTTTATATCGGCAGGGGTGGGCGGCCAAGACTTGCCGAACACACATTCTCTCATCGGTCTGCAAGATGACTATGTTATCTGCATATGCATTTGTGTAGAATCCATTATTGGTGAGGTGATTAATCAGGGTACCTAGAACTATGTTCCATTGAATGGGTAATGATACTCTTCCCTGTGAACATCCCCTCATGACCAGTCCTTTCACTGTGATGTCTTCTGAATTGATACTTATTGCTCTACTAGAGAGCATCTTGAGTATCTATTCTTCTACTACCAGAGGTACGTTCCTGGAGTATAGTTGCTGGTTAATTGTTGGAAAGGTTGTTTCATCAAACACTTCCTCAATATCTATAGATATACCCAGGGTGGATTCTTTGTTGTACAATGATCTTTCGATTCTGCCAACCACATGGTGAAGGACCGAATCACTAGACCTTCCCGGAGTATATGCATGCTGATTTGGATGAAGTGGGTTGTAAACTAGTACTTCATCTCTTATGTATCGCTCACATAGCCTTCCCATAGTTTTTGAAAAGAACGATGTGAAACTAATTGGTCGAAATGCTTTTGGAAGGATGTAGCCTATCCTACTTGGTTTGGGTATAAATACCACTCTGAATATTCCAACCAGGTGTACCATAAGAATATCCAATCCCCATTTATGAACATACCTATTTTTGAGTATTCACGGCTACGAAAAAACTATGAATTTGTTGCATTTGTTCATTTTTGTCCTATGTTCTGATCTTTATTTCTTTCACAGGTTCACCTTCAAGGACACCACCAAGAGGACCCCAAAGAACACCATATGCTGCATCTCCAGGACGGGCCGCGGGATCTCATATGGTAACATCGACACCGACAATGAGTAAGAATTCTTTTGTGTTTATGCATTGTATCTATGTCCTATTTTCTTATTTATTCTGACGAAGGCATTTCCTAAAGACAAAATTTGAATTACAACCCAGTTCCACAATCTTCACTATCATTTTTTGTTTTTCCACCAGTTCAAAGGCATACATTCAGTTCTCAACAGTGAATTTGTTTGCAGCAACTTTTCTCTTCGATTCGATAACGAGATCAGAGTTTGTACTGATACTTGTCATGGGACGAATTTCCTACCAACTGACGTTATTCTATCCCAAGGAAAGTCTTCCTTGCATCCAAATGAGACATTCAGGATGTTTCTATTCACAAGCTGAACAATCATTTCATATTCCCCAATATCTTGTGTTTTAGAAGTACATTTGTACTTGTATATCACGTCGATAGCAAGCTTGTAGCCTTCCATCCTCCTCAAGAACTAATAAAGATTGATTCCTACTTGGATCTTCCATTTTGAAATAAGTCAGCGATCAATATAAAACCTTATGTATGAGCTATGATTCATTTGTCTTGATATTGGTTTGTATTCATAATGCGCTAACATATGGATTCCACCCAATAACTCAACCGGATTTGGAATCCCATACTAAAAGATGCTGAAGTAGCAACAGAGCAATGCAATGTTACTTCATAACCAGGTAATAACACTTCGGTCAATAGCAACGCATCAACAAGATGGGCGGACTATCTGAACCAACATAAATACCTACGATCTAGAAATCACCAGTCATCGGGAGTTATGGGGTTTTCCATAAACCAAATCGGTAATTAAATTTTGACACCTTTGTTTAACAAATCCAACCCACTAATGAAAACTCAAAATAGATTGGACTATAATGACTCTAATAGAGCCCTAGACAGAAGAACTTGGATAGTTATTCGTTCACAAAATAAACTTATTGAAATTCTGACCTTTGACCCATTTTACTCCCCCCACCCCTCAAAGTGAACATAACTCTAAACGTCTAACGGTATTGATTGACATTTTTTTTTCAGGGCCCGATCAATCTTCTTGTGTCTGTTCGCCAAGATCACCCGCAGGTAAAAACCATATATTGATAATAATTCTATAACTATTTATCACAACTCCACAAACATTGAAATGGATTTTCAATATTCAGTTTCATTCGGCCAGAACCAGGTATTTCAGAAGCATTAATAATGATTATTTTTGTGAGAAAACTTGTACAGAGTGGGCTGAATTGGGCTCAATTGTATATTTCAATAGAGCTTAAAATTACCTTTCCAAAAATGTAGCACACTTGATGTTTTGCTAGAGTCATCTTTGAAATACAGAGATTTTAGAATTGTTCATGTAGACTTTGATCAAGTAGGCTTCGGACGACGCGGCGATAAAACAGAAAGAAATTGTTCAATAGTAGTTATCAAATGTTGAGAAAGCTTTCCACAGCAGTAATTAAAACGCATAGTTTCAATAAAACTGATAACAATTTATACTATAGTTACTACTAATGAATGAAAAAGAACAAACAATAAAATATATTTTTCTTCAGAGAAGATATTTAAAATGTCTACCAGCTTCTTCTACATACAGACGACACCTTCTCTAAACGTTTATTGCCGTATTAATCAGTTAAATAGGAATGACAGAAGCAACATTTTGCATCACTGCCGCTTACAATTCGTATCTTGAATTGGTAGGCAATTTAAAAATAGGATTTTTCAACCTTCCCCAGAGTCCATAGGCGTTAGGTCCGGTGACCTGGCCGGACAACGGTTGTTCTTGAGTTCCAAGTAATTTTGAGTTCAATTGAAATATGCGGGAATATAGAGGGTGTCTCATTTGAAAAAATGAGTTTTTTACACCATTGAATTCTAAGTTGAATGCTTCGAAAATGTTCTCATAGAAACAAGAAATTTTTGTCAGGAAAAAAGCACTTTTTCGAAAATGCACATTTTCGAAAAACATGCTGTAACTCAGAAACGATGCTAGATATCGATATGCGATTATTAGCATTGAGTCTGTCGAGAAATTTGACCTTCAGACACAACCATTGATTCTCACCTATCCAGTTTGAAAACAGCAGTTTTCCTTCAAAAATTGTTCAATTTAGCCCACTACGTACAAATAACTAGTATTTTTGCAATAGCTGTCAGTATCAGCCTGGGAATACATTGTTATCTTCAGAAATTTTCAAAGAAAAAGCTAGGTCGTATGCTTTCCATTATCAACTTCATCGAGTTAAGTTAATAACGACTCACAAAAACAGGTCCGATCTCATTTTTTCTGTAATACAGCTCGGAAATATAAATGCCTTCTATAAAAATTCGAGTGGAGCTGGTAAGACTCCGTCTTCTATATACACCGCTAGCTGGAAGACACCTTGTCCGGAAAACAGACATTTTGCCTGAATAAGACATTGGCATTTCGGTTCCCTGGTTTCTCGAAACACGTCTTCTGAACAATTTTTCGATATAATTATCGGTCCATTTTCAGGTCGTCGAGCTCACGACTCATCGATCATGGATTCTTCGCATATGGCAAGAAATATGCTGGGTGCTAGCAACGGTGAGTGTAATATTTTTTTCAAATATCCGTCTTGACACTTCCATTTCCTCAACCAATACACTCTCAAGAAAACTATTCTGAACTATAATTTTTCATAAGGATCTTTCAACTGAAAATTACTGAAACTTTAGATCATATTTTTATTCAAACATAAATAATATTACATTGCTAACCCTCTATTGTACCCACTTTGAGCATAGCAACGCGCTTCTCTGCGGTAATGCCACATCAACCTCTCGCAACGCTAATAAAGATTTTTCAATGAACGTGAATTCAAAAAATTTGCCAGAGCATTTGAATGCAGTATATAATTCGGCCCTTTTCAACAATCAAATTCGATTAACGTATTCAAAAAACACTTCAATGTGAGGTTTCCCCCTGACAGTTTACAAAACCGCGATAGGTGTTTCGTTATACAACAGCATCCTCAGGAATCACAATACTGGATTGTGTATACACAATACAGTAATGTTTGTATCGCCTTCGAAAGCAACTATATTGAATAATAAAATCAAATTTCATAAAAAAAAATGTTTCATCAGCCTGTTAGTTCAATTTATAATGCACACCAAATGTAATGTATGAATTCAGTATGATAATTTTTTTTTAATAAATTCTTGATGATATCGAAAAATACTCCCCCACTCCACCCTCCTAAATGTAATCGCCATCCACCCCATTTTCAAAATGAAATAGGGTGTCATACATCGTACAAGGGGTACTATATATATTTCGGGAATAGCAAATAAAAACAAATATTTTTCAATGAAAACGGCTTTATTGCTTTTCGAAATATTCTCCTTGATGATCAATACACTTTTGAATTCGTTCAAACCATTTGTCAAAGCAGTTTTTCCTTCCTTCTTGGGACACCTCCAAAACATGGTTTCTGAACGCTTCAACTGCTTCTACGGCTCTCCTAAATCGTTGACCACGCAGTTTACCTTTGATATTCTGGGACAATAAGGAGTCATTGGGTACCAAATTAGAACTGTACGGAGGATGAGCCATCAATTCGACTGCTAAAAAATTCACCTTTTGAGAGAGCGCGCATTTTCATGATGTAGAATGATTCGTCTTCGGCGGATAGTTTTAAGAATTTCTCCGAAGACTTCCGGCAAACAAATGCTCGTGTACCACTCAGAATTGACCGTTCTACGTTGCTCAAGTGGAACAGTAGCTACATGACCCATTTGGCCAAAGAAACAGTCGACCATTTGCTTCGCTATGCTTCTTCCGCGAACAACTTTTGTTGGATTTACCTCATTTCGGAATATTCAAATGGTCGATTGCTGTTTTGTTTCCGTCTGATACACATATATTCATGATTCGTTACCAATGGTTGAACTTTTTAATAATTTCCTTATACCATTCGACGCGAGCTTTTTTGAAGAACAAATTTTTGTCGACAATGGCAATAGACTGAAAGTAATCGACATCTAGAACGGTTTCTGGAGTGATACGTTCAATTTCTACTTCAATTATGTTTGGTCTATTGACGTATCTTTTACATTTCAGGTAATTCCATAGAAAGTAGTCGAGCGGTTTCATATCGGGATAAAGGGCTGGCCACTATTTTGCATCTCGTCTACCAATCCATGTGTTGGGATAAACTTCATTCAGATACGCTTAAAACTGTAGTCGAGCATCATCTTGCTGATACCAGATAATCCTATTCATATGATTCGGATTGTCATTATCTGAAATAGTCTTTTTGATGTTGGAACTGAATAAACTATTCAAAACTTACTTCGATGTTTCGATTATTAGTATCCATAATCGTCTTCGGGTGATAACTGGACTTATGCCTCCGAGATCTGACTATTTATAGGTCATTCGATAGCTTTCACCTATCCTTTCTTTCCTCTTTACGCTTCATTGGTTTTAGCGGGAAACAGTTTGACGGGAGTTGGTCGTTTTTCGTGGAATCTACCAGTTCCCTCATTGATCAGATCGAGGCAGAAGAATTCAGATGGAAAATCAGAGAACAGCTATATCGAGAACCAGTTCCAACATCCAACATCAACAATGAAAAACGAAGAGCCCCGACTGGGCTACGTAGAGATAAAACCATCAAGATCTTACCTGCAGATAAGGAAAACGATACTGTTGTGATGGATACTGATCTCTACGAACAGAAGATCGAAGAGGTGCTTCAAAACGGAGAATACACGAAGATTATAAGAGACCCTACTGCATCAATTGAAAGGAAGTTGTACCAGACTTTGAAAAAACACCAAGTCTATTTTTCGGAAAAAGAGAGATCATCGCTAACACCGCACCACAGTAAACCCCCTCACTTGTATGGACTACCCAAAATCTACAAAAAGGATGTTCTGCTCAGACCGATCATTAGCTCCAGAGATTCAGCCACTCAGAACCTGTCCAGATTTTCACTACCAATGATTAAACCACTGCAAGGTAAAACATCATCTTTTGTGAACAATTCAAGGCATTTTGTTGAGCTACTAGGGGAAATCGAAGTCAAAGACGTGGAAAGCCTCTACACCAACGTTCCTGTCGGTGTAGTACTTGAAATCATACAGAAGAAGCTATCCGAATATGGGGACATGAAAGATAGAACAAGTTTACCGATACAAGTAATCATGGAATCACTAGGATGTTGTGTACGAAACTGCTACTCCCAACTGAAGGACGAATTCTTTACGCAAGATGAGGAGGGACTGCCAATGGGATCGCCTTCACCGGTTATAGCCAATATATCTATATATGGAGTGGTTTGAAACTGTGGCCATTGAAGAAGCCCACAAGAAGCCCCGAGTCTGGTTGAGATACGTAGTATCTCACCATGTGAATGTAGAACTAGACACTTTCCTGAAGCACATCAACAACGCAAGTCCTTTCATCACTTTCCTGAAGCACATCAACAATGTAAGTCCTTTCATCACTTTCACAATGGAGAAAGGAGTCCACAACAAATTGCTTTTCTCAGACGTATTGGTGAAGAGGACCGACACCGAATGGGAAACATCTGTATATTGAGAACCCACTCCTACAGGACAGTATCTGAACTAGAAATCCAACCATCATCAATCGACTAAGAGAGAAATCATCAAGACTCTACTAGACCGTGATTTGGGGCTCTGTAATATGAAGGAAGGTCTCAAAAAGGAATTAGGCATCATCAAAAATGACCTTCAACGGAATGGTTACTCCAGAGTGATGGAAGAACAGGCTTTAGTTAGAAGACAGCAAGAGCTCCACAAGGAAGATAAGCCTCCACAATCAGTACTTGTACTTCCCTACATCAGAGGATTATCGGAAAGGATAAGAAGGATTAGGTTCAAATATAACATCAGGACCTGTTTCAGATCTAGGAACACTATTCGTAGCAGCCTCACGAAAACCAGGCCACCAAACGCTGACTGCGATTCAAAGAATTGCATTTACCGGATACCCTGCGAGTGTGGGGAATCATACATCGGTGAAACTAAGAGACCATTAAAAGTTCGCATTGCTGAGTACAAGAAACACACACAATGAGGAGAAATCAGTTAATCCAGAATGGCAGAGCATGTTTGGACTCATCAACATAATATCAAGCGGGCTCAAGCTGAAATCATCCACAAGGAGGAATACTGGTTTAGGAAAAAATTCAAAGAAGCCGCGTATATGTTGTCCAACAACGCATTTAGCTAAGCTAGCGTAGAGATACGTAACATATGGAAACCTCTAATCAAGCTGAAAATGACCAACACCCGCCAAACGGCCATCTCCCGCTGAAACCAATGAAGCGGAAAGAGGGAAAAGGGAATGGGTGAAAGCACTCAATTGATCTATAAATAGTCAGATCTCGGAGGATTAAGTCCAGTTATCACCCGAAGACGATTGTGGATACTAACAATCGAAACGTCGTGACGTAACTTGGTTTGGAATCTTTTAATTTTTAGTTTTTTTTCATAATATTTTTTAATTTTTCAATTTTCAGCTTGTATTGACGGTTCAATTTTTATTAATATTTTTTTGGTTGTTGCTTGTATGTTATTTCTTTGTTGCGGCGTTGGAAGCTCTCGGCTCCTACCGAGCAACGTCTAAGTTGGTAGCAAACTGCCAAAAACGATTCTCCTCGATAGGTAGACTTAACAGATTGTCTCTGGTCTGGATTCCTATACATTCTGGCCTGGAAGACAATTAAGCGGCTTCATCGGACCAGAACCTGTCATTGGCATCGCTTTGGGCTTTGCCAAACAAATACTGAACACCTGGATGGCAAGAGGATTTATGGACTTCTGGCAGAATCTTTCAGGATTGGCTCACTCCAAGGCGTTTATTCAACCTTCGAAGCTTGTTACAGTTGTTGGACTAGAGTAGGGATGAACTACGATGTCTAACATGCCTTCTTACAGGTCACTGTCATTTGAATCATCATATGCAGAGACTTGGACTGTCGGAAGACAGTGTGTGTCGCCTCTGTCTGGAAAATGATGGAACAGCAGAGCATACATTTTGTGCCTGCCCCGCTGGGGACCGAATCAGGTTCTTAGAGTTCGGCAGATTCGTACTCTTACCATCTGACCTGAAAGACCACTCACCATACAAATTAATCGGCTTCGTTAAGAACCTGGGTTCATTTGGCCGAATGTGAATAGGTGTGAGCCACAATAAACCCTTGTGGGTTGCGGTGGAGGGTCGAACAGATCCACTCACTTCAGACCTACATATTTCTTTGTAATTTCAGTTTTTTGTTAAAAAAATTTTTATTTTTCGGTTAATCTTTTTAATTTCTTTCAGGGATTTCAAATCAATGTATATTATATTAGACAATGGAAGTCCGAACTGATGAAATACAGTACAATTAATATCCATCAAGATATAGAGCTACAAAAACACAAGACATCAAAATGAGCAACACTTCGAAACGACCTGAAAATTATTGCGAATCTCACGTTTTTCCGAGTTCTAGTTTTGATATCATATCCTAGCATTTTTGACACTTCTTTCCTTTGATGTTCAGTCGAATAAGACGTTTAACAAAAAAAAATGCAAAACAAAATTGAAGGTTGATTGGATACACAGTAAATTTAATGGTATCGTGATTTCATTCAACATTTCTGACACGGATTATTTAACAATACCCTTGAAAATGAGGCATCACCTGACTGACCTTTTTCTTTTGAAAATTGAAGAGATTGCTGTCACGTTGTGTGGCCTGAAGAAGGGGGTAATTTCTTCACGCCACGAAGTGTTTTTCTTGCAAATGGTTAATGACAAAAAAATTAATGTACCTATCTCTTACATATGGTTCGAACCGAGTATCTAAGTGGTTATTTCATTTCAGTTTATGAATACAGTGGGCCAGACGATAATGGACCTAATCCTATGCAAGCCTTACGAGACCTTTCAGGACTGGATAATTCTTTCGGTATCATACCCCAACAATATATGGACAGACACATGATAGGGGCAGATTATGATACCCAGCATTCATTTCGTAAGTTTCACGGTTAATATACTCTTGAATATTGAAAGAAAATCATTTTTTTGTGTAGAATAATCAGTTTTTTATTGAACTTTTTTGAGTATTTTCACCTTCCACAATATGAAATGGAGAGAACTTTATACAGGTGTAAAAAGGGCAAAAATTTTAAGTTTACTCCGATAAGTTACTGCGTGAAATCAAACTATTTTCACCAAGAAAAATAATCTATTTATCAGTAACTTGTCGCATTTAACAATTTCGCCTATCAAAAAAATAGCCAGGAAATAATGTAATACTCATCTCAACTTTTCGAAGGCCAAAATCTGCCTCCGTCTTCAGAAATGGACAAAAAACTCGATGATTATTTATGTCTCAATTTCTTCAACAGCTGTCAAAGGAGTTTTGGAATGTGAATTATGTCAATGTTGTTAATGGACTACTGAAACATGGTGCACTCCGATATCAGTCTGTTGCTATTTCGCCACTATCCAAATTATTCTTCAAGACGGGTAGCCAAGTACGATCTTTTTCTAAGGAGTTGTTCGGAATACAATTCTCTCCAGATATGGGAATTTACGCTGATTCTGATGGGAAAAAATACCAACGTGGTCCAAACAAAACTGGCTGGTATCTCAATCGCCACAAAAGAAATAACCAGGAAATGAATGTCTGGTAAAAACATAACAATCTGCACTGACAGTAGACAAGCCCTATTAGCCTTGAACAGACAACGTGTTACCTCAGGGCTTGTACTAGAGTGCCGCCAAGATTTAGCCAAAGCCTCGGTAGATAATAACATTATCCTGAGGTGGATTAAAGAGCACGACAATAGTAAAGCTAATCGTATTGCCGACTCATTAGCCCAAGAAGCGGCTGGACTAAGAATTGTAGGACCTACGGCCTGGTGACTTCGACAATTGTGGAACTAGACACGTATACGAATAACCTAAAAATTATGAAAATTTCCATTTTTTTTTTTTCAATTTTTCGATATTCATCACGAATACGTTTCAAGTATTGTGAAAACTTTGCGAACTAGAATCTAATGAAGTATTTCTCGAATAATTTACAAAAATACTCCAAAAATTACCTTACAACTTTGTGATATTTATCTCAAATTTGTTTCAACTATCGTGGAATCGTGGTATAATTGTTTTGTATTTTGTTTGAACTCTTCAGTGGAAACATGACTGGATTTTTTCCTACTTCAAAACTGACTAAATACAATACAATCTTCAATCCCCCATTTTCCCCCCTGATGATGAAAATTTCTGAATCCTTTTCTTGATGCTTATTTACGCTATACAAAGAACCTACCTGCATATTTCAATATTCTAGCTTGAGTAGCTTCAGCTATACGTCATTATAAGGGTGTCAGTTAATAAAAATCAATAGGTACCCACTTATACAATATTGAATAGCATCAGCAAAAAAAACTGAAAGGATTAAAATGAAATGTATTGCTAATCCTACTCCTACTGATATTATAAATGCGTAAAGTTTGTGAGGATGGATGAATGTAATGTATACATTTACGTTCTTTACTTTTTCGCGCCTCAACAGCTCAACAGATTCGAATGTAAGTTGGTATATAGATATATCATGACCTGGAATAACACATAGAGTAGGTTCCCACGGTAAGGCGGGTAGAACAGTGGGAAATACCGAGTATTGTATAAGTGGGTACCTACATTAAGACTGGTCATGAGGGGATGTCCACAGGCAGAAGTCTCATCACTTCTTTTCTGGAACATAGTTCTGGATACCCTGATTAATCACTGCAACAATAATAAATTCTATACAATTGCATATACAGATGACATAGTTATCTTGCAGACCGGCGAATTTCTGAACACACTGTACGATAGAGCGCAGGATGGGCTCAAAGTAAGAAACACTTACTGTAGATCAATCCCAAGAAGACTGAGATGATCTGTTTCACCAGGAAAAGAAGTTTATTGGGCTTAAAACCTCCAAAAATCTTTGAAAGCAAACTAAACTTTTCTAAAGAGGTGAAATACCTTGGTACTATACTCGACAGGAAGCTAACATGGAACTCTCACCTACAGAGTAGAGCAAAAAGAGCATATGTGGCTTATGAGCAATGTCGGAAGACAGTGGGACGCGCATGGGGTCTTTCACCCCGTGAGGTCACCTGGATCTACACTGCAATAATAAGACCTATGTTAACGTACGGAGCCATTGTATGGGGACCGAAAGTTCTACAAGCAACGGTCATCCAAAAATTATATCAAATAGAGCGACTGGCTTATTTAAACATCACAGGAGCCATGAGAACAAACCCAACCGCGGAACCAGCCAAGTGTTACACTCATGCTCAATCCCTGAAGAGATGGGATGGAATCAAAGGATCCAATCTTGCCAAGATCACCCTGGCGATGACCAGGAAAAATCTACGCTCACTAAAAGGATTTTTGACTGGTCACTTTCAACAAAGGAAACACCTCCATAATATGGGGCTTGTGAACACACCTCTATGCAGGATGTGTGAACATGAATATGAGAGTGTCAGGCATGTCCTATGCGAGTGCCCGGAGATATCGTCAATTTTCAACAATCAACTCAGAAAAAACAGTTTTCATGAGTCTCAGGTAAAAAAATATGAACAATATGAAACCGAATATATTCAAAACAGCTGCCAGTGAAGATTTGCATTCTGTTTTATCATCGCATCGGCCAAAGTGTGCTCCTCAAAGTCTACATGAAAAACCTAAAATATCTCTATTGGCCCACTCTGTACCACAGGTTGAAGCAATCAGGAAAAATAGTCTTTCAGATACTCATAGACAAATTAATGATGCTCATATTCTGCCACAATTCGGTCATCCTGCACTTGAAGCCAAAAAATATAATTTGTCGTTCAATAAATGAAGCTATAAGGGTAGTATTTAATGAACCATGGAATACTCTATCTTTAAAACTATACAAACTGACATAATATGACTTTGAGTCATTTGAGTCTCTTTGAGAAAGCGAAATTCGTTTATGAATTGTCTAAAAATATCCAGAGAAATAATATTCGATCATTGAAAAATTCCAAATTGCATGATTGTGATACTAAAAATACCAATAGTTTTCATCTTTATGTAATACATATTAGCAAATTGTTCGAAAGTTTTTGATACATTGCCTGAAAAAATAAAATAAGGTGAAAGAGTTCATATGTTCTCCAAAAACATCAAAGAAATTTTTTTAGTTGATAATGCTTATCAAATTATCATTATTTGAATATTCATATTTTCTTATAACTAATTAATATAGTTTATTGTATGATTTTCACTATCAAGGGTTTCACAAAAACCGCGACACGTATTTCG